TTTAACTCGTTTAAAGTTGAGAAGAATCTGTAAATTTTATCACCAAATATAACCTTAAATCTTGGTCTAGGAATCAACGTTGGGTAGGTTTTAGTTGATGTCATGACTAAGTGTTAAGTGATATAACCTCCGTTTCTTGTATATATATCATCAAATTCTCATAATCATCTTTATTGAATATTCTTCTTCTTCAGATGTTGCAGCCTCTGTATATTTGTATCTGTCAAATGAAACCTTAAACAATAGTATACGAAATTAACTAAAATAAGACGGAAGTCACGGAATTATGGTGGGTGATATATTTCATAATTGGAAAATTCCAAAGAACTTTTGCTATTTTGGAACGAAAGATGGTCTTTGGGACCAATCCTCGTTTTCCTCAATTTGCTCCCTAATTAAAGAGATGATTCCAAAAAAAGCCTCCATGTTTACACTAATGATAAATAGAGTTGTGACCACTTACAGTCTTACACTGCAAAATATACGAAGAAAATATTAAAAGATCCCTTCAGACTTCTATAAAACATGTTTGTAATTTTCATTTTCATGCTTGGTTTTGTGTGAACAATCGATATGAGATTGCTGTGAAGATCTGAAAATTCGATATAGGTAGTTTGTGATAAAGATTTAATAATAAAGAAAATACAAAGTTCACAATCTTTCTCGTGACTGATGAATGTGTTTTAACCAAAAAAAAATATACAAAATTTGATAGGTGGATTTTTATCAAATGAGTTAAAGTCTATCAAACTTAGTATCAAAGTCCAATTTGTTAGCTCAAATAATATTTATTTACAGTAATAAAGTGGGAAAATATGGCTTAAATTAGTCACTAAAATTTGTTTTGAATTGGGAAGTCTATAAACTTACAAAATATTAAAAATCCATATAGGAGACAAAATATATAAAATATCTAACAAGCGATATTTAAGAAGAGGAACATGTGAGGGTGTGGAGATATTGTCACTGAAAACTTTATGGGGCGTGTTTACTGAATCTGTGTCGATGATATATAGATTCGCGAGTCACATGGAGAGACCAACAAAGTGAGACCTCCCCACCACAAAAGCTTAATATTTTTCATATTACTACACTGCCCATTTTATCACATTCATTTGTTAATTTTACATGTTACATTGTCTTTTTAAATTTGAACTTTCTCAAATGACTAAAACTAACATATTTAATAATGTGACGCCTCTCATTTCCTTGTTGAATATGATTTTCTGTGTGGGTTGAGGATACTTCATGGCAGAGGAAATCTCTTCATGGTCGATATGGTCAGATTTTTAATTTATGATTTTGATGACTGTTGTCTATTTTTAATTGCTGGACTAAACATGCATATTTAATAACATGTTTCTATGTTGTGTCACTCACGAACTTGTGCTTTGTTTCTTTCTGTGATTTTTAGAAATGGACCGATCTATTGTTAGTTACTTTAGACATCAATGATAGAAAAATTGGTTTTCTTCATATATTCGAGGTTAAAAAATCATATTTTAGAGATAAGTATCTGTTTCTTTAGACGTCAAATTATAGAAAAATCGGCCTCTATTATTAGTTGCTTTAGATATCAAATGATAGAATTTTTTTTCTTTATATATTCGAGGTTGAAATCTCATATTTTAAAGATTAGTATCTGTTTCAGCCTTAGATTTTTCCAATCATGAAAAAAAAAAATTGTAAAATTTGAAATAACTTTTGTTAAGAACTTAAGACTAAAAAAAATAAACCATAGTATGAGGCTATTAAGCTATACTCTAACCTTCAGTTATTTCAGTAACAGTATGAGGTTGTGATCTTGATCTTGTGAGGAAATAGTGAATATCTTAATAGCTTCTCCTTTGTCGAGTTTCAATAAGCAGTGGTATTTTACATCAACTCTTATTTTCGGTTGTCTTATTTTTCTATGAAGTCGTTTGATATTTTCATTGTTATTTTAGGTGGAAAATATCATTTTGCAGAGATAGTAATGTGTAAGAATTTTAGCCATTCAGATGAAGAATTCAATGTTTTCTTCTGGTGTACTTCTCCAAATTGCTTTTGGGACTTTATTTTGTTTCGGTCCGAGCCTACAAAAAAACTTCCAACCATCGCTGCAACCATTGTTTCATGTTCTGGTCACTTCTAGCTGCATTTATGTCATTCCGACCTTGGTTCCGGACTATAAAGTCTTCTTTAGCATCCTACCTTTAAGGTTGGATATGAATGAAATTACAGGCATTCTTTTTTTATATTAGAAGCCTTGCCATTTTTTTTTATTCGTTATTTTTTTTTTTTTTTGTGTACAGTTGTTATGTTTGCCAAATCTGTTTTGTATTGCCTAAATTGAATGAGAATTAGTTGATAAAAAGAAATGACTTAAAAACTAAATACTAATGTTTTGATATCTATATGTTAGGCATAAGTGCAGTACGCTAATCACTTTTACATGTATTGATTTTATACTCCTACGGTTTAGTCTTCTGAACAATAAGAAGAAAGAGCTTTGATTAAGAACAAACTAGATCGTTTCACATACTTTTATTAAAAAAAAAGTTGCCATTTTATAAAATGATTCTTACATACTTTGTCCGCTTGGCATCATGACTAGCCTTGGTTAACATGAATGGTCTATACATTAAAATTTTGATATAAAACATCTAAATTACGTGAGATATAAACTAAAAAAGATGGATTTTTTCTCTAGAAGGACTAGCTAAAAATATATACACAGCCGTACGCGGCCACATGTTTCCAACAGCAACAATAACGCATTCCTCATGCTAAAATTAATCATCATCATCTGTAAGACCAAATAAAAAAAAAAGAATAAAGAAAACACACTAAACATAACATTATCTCATTCATACCTATCCAATCTATTGACCATTGACCTATTTTTATTGATTTTTTTGCCATATTGAGTCAATACACGCACCACGCAACCACCACACTTTAACCCAATTTCTATTTTTTTTACTTATTTTTTATTTTATTTTAAAGATATTTTCCTAGTTGTTATTGTTATCCATTCAATTAATTACTGTATTAAAATCCTCAAGCTAAGCAATCCCTAATTTTCCCATTCGTCCTCCTCTTTAAAAATCAGATTTAAACCCTTCAAAAACAAAAAAAAAAGTAAGAAGCATCAGCATCACAAACCCAACACCAATCCACAAGAAAAAAACTTGATACATTATCAATTTAAATCAAGAATCAAGAAACAAGAATCAAGAAGCAAGAATCAAGAAGCAAGAATGGAGGAATCAGGACGTGGAGCAGATCCATTTCCGGGTTTTGAGATGAGTTTTCACAAGGACGATTGCGTTTACCGGCGATCTCTAAGCTGCCGACTTCAGAGACGAGCTCCTTGTCCTCTCCTATTACCACCAAGACCTCATCTTTCTACGGAAGCTCCTTCTGCGACCAGCGTTCCAGCGTCCGCGTCTGCGTTTTGTCAAAACGGCACAGATCCAATCCCTCTTTTGTCCCCTCTCGTCCTTCCTCCAATGCTTCAACCTAATCCAACAACCACCTCTCATTGACTCTTTCTTTTTTTCTAATCTCTTAGGTTTTTTTTTTTTTGGTTTGGTTTTGTTTTCTGTAATGACAATTACCAATGTTCTTCAACTCATTAATCCTTATATATATTTTTTTGGTTAATATCGATTTTGTCTTTCAATTCATAAAACACCTAGATTCAAAATTATGTCGTCGTCTCTATACAGATTCACATTGTCACAAAAGGTGATGAGGGTCATCCTTATTCGACCTTGATAAAATTGTAGATTCTCTTAACATATCATTTATATTTGTACACTTAATGTCCAATGCCAGAATATTCAAGAACTTGTGAATCCAAGAAGAACAAGACAAACCCCTGTAGGTTGATGTATCAATTAAAGCCAAAACCCAGGGGAAATGATTTGCAAACGATCTCATCCTTAATTAGTTCACATGTTTTTTCTTTGAAAAATCTCAATGCACCTTGATTTCTTAGTTTTTCACAAAATCTAAAAAATAAAATTCTTCTTGTAATACTGATTGTTGTTTTATTGGAGAAGCGGTTAACAAACCTCTCCTGTTAACCGAGTCATGTAGACCAAATTGATTGGATTATCAAATCAATCAATCAATCGTATTAGGAATCGTATTGTGTTTAATTCTGAATGCTATAAATCTTCTAATTGCTAGAAATCCTCTTGTTTATAATCTTCTGATTGCTATAATTTCTACAAATTAATACCCTTTCTATTAGGAATGTTTCTCTCTTGTAAAAATCTCAATTTTTCTTTTATGATTTGTAGAAACATGAATTCTTTTTATTATTTTACTACAAAGAAAAAAACCAAAAGCCTATTTTAGAAAGTAGGATAGGACCAAATTCATTGGATACAAAAAATATCATTTTTAATATGAATAAAAATCAACGTTGAATGATAACCACTCGAAATTGGCTAACATGTGTATTTTGAGCTCAAAATTTTGATGCAATGACATAAAACAATCGAACTTCGGTTTGACGGATAAGTCAACAACGGTCTCTAGAGTTTGAAAAGAGACCAAAGATGTTCGAGCCCATAATATTGGACCAAAAAAGCCCATGAAGAAAATGCCCAAGAAGACAAATCCTATTTGGATTTTGACTTGGAAACTCAAAAAGAGAGTAATATTAGAAAACATCTTAATGGTTTGATAAGGAATGAAAATCTAAGAAGACTACTACAATTAGAAAAAGAGTCCATGAATATATCTAGTTGGATAAGAATTAGCATATTAGTGCATTCCTCTAATTCTGGACAGAGCACAGACCCAAAAAATTAGATTTCATCTTGATCTGTTACCACCACTCAAATTCAAATATGCATAAATGATATATATTGAAAACAAATAAAAAAGATAAAACCACATATTTCCATTTTTAAAACCTAATAAAAATTCTTTCTAAAAACACTTTTTCCCCCTTATAATAATATCCCACGTATCATTTTTAAAATTTCACCTAATAAACATAAGTTTCCTTAAAGTTTTTTTCCAAAGAAAAGGGAAAAATTGTGTTTTTCTAAACTCTAAAGGCACAAACCGAAGGCCAAAGGGGGAGACTTTTGGTAGGAGAGAATATTAATACAAAGGGAGAGAGATATGTGTAGAGTCACATTGGTCTCACTCTTAATCCAAAGACAGACCAATCAACGAACGGTACCGATTTCTCTGATTCGTCGGTCAAGCTGTTGATCGCTGAGGCACGTCTCCGGTGGTGCAGGGCACGAGTCGCTCCATCTCATCTTCTTTCTTTTCACGACTTTCTTCTGCAACTGCGTTTTTATTTGAGACTATTGTTTGTTTTTTCCCCGTCAAACCCAAATTAGGGTTAGCTTTAAGCAACAAAATCCCGTCTTCCGTCGTCGTGGTCGTGAGGTAAGTTCGATTGTCTTCAAATCTATACTCACTTCGATCCTTGAATTAGTGGGTGTTTTTCAAAATTTTGATTTGATTCTGGGTTTCTTCCTTCTTTGCTTAATCTGCTCGATGATAAACCATAAAACCTAAAATACGTCGAAATTACGATTACGGCACAGTTGCGTTCGTCGATTTCAGAAATGGGTTTTTGTTCGGTAGATTCCAGAAACTTAGTTCAGGCCTATGGTCGTTTCTAGGTTTCGTAGCGTATACTTTGATATTTACCAAATTTCATTTTGTTTCCTGATATCGTTTTAGCTGATCCCTCGCTGGAGGATGATGGGTTTTTGTGGGAATAAGATTGCTTTAAACATGAAAATAGTTTCAGTATATGTGAATCTCTAGTTGTAATAATGTGTGCTTGCTTCTCCTCTGCTTGTAGGATATCTGCAACTTCTCCATAAAAAAAAGGATGCTTTGAACAGTCAATACAAGTTCCTGCATTCTCCTTAAGCAATGGGAGAGCAACGTCAGTTTAGATCACGTTCTTGGAATAGAATGCCAGCCAAAAGATGCAGTGCAAACGGCATAATGAACGAGTTTATCGTTGTGGATGATGATGAGGTTATCATTCTTGATACTCCCGAGTCATCGAAATCCAAAGCCCCAGGGACATCAAGAACCAGGAATGAGCCCGTTTTGCCGAGAGTGATTAGCCTTGACGATGAAGATGATGATGATGCTGCTGATGATACAGAGAATGTTCCCAAAGCCGGGAGTGGTTCAAGCTGTAACCCTCTTGCTGCTAACTTGCAAACATCTGCTGAAGTGGATAATGACGATTGCCAATTCATTCAAGAAAAGCGTGCTACTTTTAGATTTACAAAATGCAAGCATACTCACTCTACAAAGTCCTCTACTGGAATTCGATTTGGTTTAGGTTCTGAATCAGATAGTGATGTTTCAGAGAGCGACTGTTCTGATTGTGAGATTTTGGATGGTTCTCAGAGAGAGGTCCGCGAGCAGTGGGAGAAAGCTTTCTTTGAGAAAATGAAGAAAGCAGGTAAAGCTGGTCTGAGTGAAGAGGCTGGTCCTTCAAATCTCCACTGTGACACTGATTTTGAAAGTAGAACTGAAGAACAAGATCAAGCATCTTCCTTCTTTGCTGCAAGAAATCCAGATGGTGGAAAAGAAACCTCTTCAACTTTATTTGGAACCGAGAAATCAGGTAAAGCTGGTCTGAGTGAGGAAGGTCCTTCAGATCTCCACCGTGACACTAATCTCGAGCCTGGTTTTGAAAGCAGAGCTGAACAGCAAGATCAAACGTCTTTCGTCTTTGCTGCAAGAAATCCAGATGGTGGAAAAGAAACCTCTTCAACTTTCTACCAAGCCGAGAAACCAGGTAAAGCTGATCTGAGCGAGGAGGCTGGTCCTTCAGTTCTCCACTGTGACACTAATTTCGGGCCTGGTTTTGAAAGTAGAACTGAACATCATGCTCAAACGTCTTACTTTGTTCCGGCAAGAAATCCAGATGGTGGAGAACAAACCTCTTCGACTCTCTTTGGAACTGATGATAGAAATGCTAGTGCGTCTTTATTTGGTTCGCAAATGGAGGAAGACAACCGAGCTAAAAACTTTATTAATTCCAGGTTTTCATCTAAAGAGAAGTTTCCGTGGTTTTCGTCACAGTCACCTGAAATACAAGTTGAACGTGAAAGGTCTGATCAATCATCAGCTCATTGTACTTCGTCAAAGGAACCGATGCATCAAAATAGTTTCAAAGAAGTTGAGGAACAGCTAGACACAGTGCAAGTTCAGTGTAAAACTTCGCAATTGCCCAAAGAGAATCAAATGAAAAGGGTGCCCAAAGAGAAACAAAAGAAAAAATCGCCTAAAGAGAATCAAAAGAGGAAGGCTGCAGATCAGTCTTATTCCAAGGAAGTTGTAGAAGAAGAAGTTGCCTCAAAATCTTCTCAGCCACAACCCTCTGATGGGGATGGAGATACAACGCATGTGCTTGGCACCCAAAGTAATGGAGCCAGGTGTGAGCATGGGAACTCGAGTTTAGGTGATTCAAGTGAACCAATCACTGATCCCATCCCATCTACTAGTGGACAAGTGCAAGGTCTTAATGGTACAGCTCCTGCGATCGATGTCATGCTTAACAGAGAAATGCTGAAGGAGACAGATGAATACAAGAAAGCACAAGAAGAAGAATGGGAATCCAGGCAACAGCAGTTACAGCTCCAGGTCTAAGCAAACTCTACTTAAATTTCTGAAAACTCTCGTTTAATAATTCGAAACCTGCCATGGGGAATCTTCTTCTTTGGTGTTTATTAACCTTCCCGCGGAATTATTGCAGGCAGAAGAAGCTCAGAGGCAACGTAAGAGGATAAAGTTAGCAAACACGCGACAGTTGGAGATGGAAAGAAGGCAAAAGGAGAGGGTAGAGGAAGTGAGAGAGACACAGAAGAAGGTTTCTACTCTTCCTCAGTGGTCGTTCCTGATTTTGTGTTTGGTTTGCTAACACACACGTTGCTTTTCATATTTAAATCACAGGATGAAGAAAGCATGAACATGAAGGAGAAAGTCCGTGCAGAAATAACCAAATCGCTTAGAGTTCTTGAACTCAAATGCAATAACTTGGCATCGTTGCTTCGAGGCTTAGGGATTCCTGTTGGTGGTGGAACATCTCCTCTACCACATGAGGTTGGCCTCTCTAGAGTTCGTTACATTCATTAAACTGCTTTTGTATAATTGAGTATCATAGTAATATGGTAATTAAATTCGAATGTAGGTACACGCAGCTTACAAACGAGCCGTGCTGAAATTTCATCCGGACAGAGCATCAAGAGGTGACATCAGACAGCAAGTGGAAGCAGAAGAAAAATTCAAGCTTATTGCTCGGATGAAGGACAAATATTTATCCTAACAATGACCAAGGACGACTTTAAAGTCTTTTTTTTTTTGAGGAAGCGATGGAATATTTTTTTGTAAATCAGTTTCTCAAATCCAACAAGAAACAAAATTGTTGAGGTCGGTTTAAACAAAAAACAAAAAGTATAGAACATAACAAAAATGTTTGGTATCAACGCCTCCTCTTCTTGCCTCTGCCTTTACCAAGTTGTCCAGATTTGGCAGCATGTTCTTGCTCTTGAAGGAAAGCCCAGTTTTTGCCATGTTTCTCTGCTCTCTCTTGCTCTTGCACAGCCTTTTCTTTTGCTTTAACCTCGCTCATGAAGTAGCTGTCTTTGCGCAGCTCACGCACTACTCCTTTCCTTTCTTGATTTAGCTTTTTCTTCAGCTTCTTGTAGTCGGAACGGATTTTGTCTGGATCGTAATCCCTTCCTTTGACAAAGCTGCTCATGACAAACATATATACACCGTTATGGAGATCATCCCTTTGTGGTCTCTGTAAGTAAAACTGAGTGAGAGTGAACGGATTAAGGAGAGAGAAAGAGAGTGAGACTTACTTCTCTTCGAATTTGGGAGTGACCATTCTGATTGGTATTGGCTTATGCTTACGCATAGCGAGTGGTTTGCGTTGCTCGTGATGCTCATCAGTTTTCGTTTGGATTAGCTGCGCAACATCTTCTAGTTTCTCCTTGAGAGTTTGTGGAATCCTTTCTTGATTCTTAACTTGGTCTAATATAGTTGAGATGGGCATGAAGATCTCTGGAAAAGAACTCAATCCTTCGTTTATCTCCACAAACCCTCTGAGAGTCTCAACCGCACTTGAAATGATGCTTGCTCTGTATAACCAAAAAGCCAAAAGTATTACACATACTTCTATCTACTGTTGATATCTGAAACACTGATTTCAAAAAGAGGGAACAAACCTGAAATCATCAGAGCTGAAATATGGAGAGTCTGCTGGCTGTTCCATTATCTTTAGGAAGTTTAAAGGCACGACCTCCTTTACATGGTCTTGTATGCAGAGCAATGGAGTCAGCGATTTTAGTTCCATAAAATGGTAAAACTGTAACACGATACACAACAGTTCATCAGCCCGGTAGCAACAGACAGCAGTTGCCTATGTGCACATCATGAGTTCTTATATGCAGCATTGGGCGTTTACCCATCTAAAGTCATAAGCATGAAATAAAACCGAATGTACCTCAGATTCCTCAGATGGTGGTGCCTTTTTGTCTGAAGCAGCCATCAGAAGAGTCCGGATAAATAGTATGGCTTCGGGGCAGAACTTCTTAGATTGTTTAGCAACCTACAGTAGGAAGTTTGTTTGCATGAGAAAAATTGAAAACGGAAATAGCCAAGAAAAAAGGTGGGGGGATCAACTTCTCCTTACCACTAGAACAGTGGAGCATAAGAAGGAACCTATGGCAATATCACGACCAGAGGAGATAGGGCATCGCATGAGATATTCACACATCAACAATATCGACGGCGTCATCACAGCATGGCGATAGTCAGAGCACGGGAAAATCATGGACCAAAGCCTCAAGAGAAACAATGTTTTCAAGGATGGCCAGCATCCATCCTCTGGAATAACGTTTCTGAACTGGTTAGGGCAAAGATATGGCAGAGGCATGGAACTTAAAACTCAGGGTTACGGAAGAATTACAAACCTGGACTCTTGATAGCCTCACAAAATTGCGCACGGGTCTTTAGAAGCCTCTGGCGAGCACATATTGCAGCAAAGTAGGGAATCTCCATGCTCATCTCAATCAAAGGTTTGGCAAGCATGTTTAGTAACTCAAAGTTCAAGGGCTTCTTGTTTGCAAGAACAGCAAAATACTGCAAGAGAATACCATAGAAGACCTGGGTGGCAGAAAACAACAAACATTCAGAAAGGAAATGAGGTATGATGAACAAGTTCACGGGTCTTAAAAGTTAACCAATTGGATAATGTTATCTTTGAGAGCAAAAATAAAGATTACCTGCATTTTTTTCCGGTTTTCCGCTGCAAGCTTAATTGAATCTGTTGTTCGGATTCGGTCGACAATTAAGATAACATCCGCATTGGAACGATCTTCTACTAGGGCAATCAATTCCTCATAATTCTTGGGAGCATTAATTACGAAAGGAATATCATGCTCCGTTGAACTCGATTTCTGCATATTTGATTTTTGTTTCACTGTTTCAGACAACCCTTCTCCTTTACGTGGTGCAGTAGAGTCCTTCTTCGACTTTTTATGTACTCTTGGCTCCACATCTTCTTCTGCATCATCATCATCATCAGTATCATCTTCCAGCTCTGCCTCCAGCTCATCATCACTTTGTTCCCAGTCCTTTAAAGGTTGACTTTTTCTCAGTTTCTCTTCACCCCCATCCGACTCCTCCTCATCATCTTCCCCTCCTTCACTGTCTGAATCCTCATCAGAACTATCATCCTCTCTTTCAAGAACTTCATTGATCCATCCTTTTTTCGGCTGCTCTTCATCAACTGAGAAGGAATCACCAAGATCATCGCCAGAAATGGCTCTTTGCCTCTTACTTGATTCCTCACCATCAATTTCTTCATCCTCGTCGCTCAAATCCTCAGCTTCTTGCATCCTCTTCTTACGCTTTTCCTAAGAGATTTAAAATTCGATTTCAACCACAAGACCTTGACCACAAATTAATCAGAAAAGAGCCTTTTTTTCTAGTGGTTCATCATATTCATAATGTAACACACGTCAGCATGTAAAACTGCAATGGCTTTCGACAGAAACATACCTCAAGTTCCTCTAATCTTTCTCGCTCATTCTGGGCAATTTCTTCAGGTGTCTTTATCCTATCAGAAGGACGACCACGAATATCCATTGACATAGCATCCATAAGTTTGTAATACTCATCGTCTGGATCCTGCAGACAAAAGGGATTGCGTCAAGCAAAAGAAAACTCACGAACTGAGAAGTCTGACGATACAACTGCAGACGCTGACAACTGCATAATGTGATCATCATTCACCTTTGGGAGATTAAAAGGTTGAGTTAGACTCTTCATCTCCTGAGAATCTACTAAGGCCGTGAAGTTTTTATTCAGCTCATCCAACAGCTTCTCCTTTTCTTCCTTTTTCTCAGCTTTCTCCATCTAGAAACCCACAAAATAAAACAAGTTACCAACTATAAACATGCCCTGCAAAAGAACATACAAGGAAAAAAGTGGAATAGTCACTCACCTTGCCAAGTTTGCTCTTCATGATGATCTCTGCCATGACTTCCTTCTTGCTCTTACGCCTCTGCAGAGAGAATCCAAGAATATCAGCAAGGCTAAATACGGCAACAATCAAAAGGTAATAACACTCAGACGCTTAGGAGATCTCTGTTCCAACCTCTTCCTCTCCAGATGAGTCAAGCGATCTGTTTTTGTTTAGATGCTTCAGTCCTATTACAGAAAATAGTTAAAAAATTTGGATGATAGCAAAATGTGAATCCACTATACGAGGACACTAGCACAAGCGTTTTCAAGAAAACATACTCTTTGATCCAGCATCCTCCAGATCATCGTCTTGAAGATCTTCATCCGACAATAGTCCAGAATCAAAGTCATCCTTTCCAGAGTAACCACCAAGAGCACCATCTTCATAAATGTCTTCCTCTCCATCCGACAAATTATACACGCTCTCCTTTGCTAGTTTCCGCTTCATCACCATAAGGGAAACAAAAAGAGATATACAGTCAATTCAATTGATTCAAAACAAAAAAAAATTCTTGCTTGAGAGCAATGAAGCATATGATTCTCAAAGTTTTGTTCTTTTTTCTTTATGGGTTTTCTGTTAAAGAGCTGACCTGACGCTCTCTCTGCGATCGAATTATACCCTTGTCGAATTCCCCAAGCTCATCGTCCTGCTCTCCGATACGCTTATCCACAAAAACCTTAGATTTCAAACTCTGCTCGTACTCCTTGAGCAGCGTGTTCTTCCTCTTATCAACACCGATAGATCGTGAAAGACCGAGACGGCGTTCTTCACCTTTGCGCTTCTGCCCGAGGACGTCGAACCTCCGGCGAGACCAGATTGACTCAAATGGATTACTGGCCTTCTGCGCCTTGGCTTTCCTGGCGACTGCACCTGCGATGCCTTTTTTAGGCTTCCTCTTCTTTTTGTTCTCCTTCTCCATGATTTCCTGCTGCTGCTGCTGCGGCGCCGGCGACATTGGCTAGGGTTTACGAGATATCGAACAGGGTTTTGGGAGTTTTGTTCAATTTTAATCCGTATCGAATAAGAGCACAGTGTAAGGCTAATTATACGAAGAAGAAGAAGAACCGGGTGGGTCGGGTCGGGTCGGGTTAATTAGACATATAAGCCCATAATCATATTTATGGCTCAAATTGCCTTTCTTTTGGGAAGATGGGCTTGAGAAAATGTTGGAAATGAAATCGGCTTACACTATTCGAACTTCTAATGGATTTTTTTTTTAAATAAATTCCAAAAAAACTTTTTACAATATTTGAATTATCAAGGTATCAGAGCCGAAATTCAAGAGTTTGTGTATTTACAAAATAAAATATTAGTATGAATTAGTTATGATTGGATAACATACTTATAAAAAATAGTTGACAACTTTAGAAATATATCAAAATGTTCACCCATTGAACCAGTTCGAAGTAAAAAAAAGACTTACCGAAACTAATTCCATGAAAATAAAACACTTACCGAACTATGGAAAGTGCAAGAAATAAAGAAGAAGCTGAAAAAATTTAGAAAAATAGAAATGGAAGAAGTAAGCTCGTATAGTAATAATTGCACTCACAAATCCACATCCATGATTAAACCGTAAAGGTTACACAACTTACAAAAAAAGGGGTAAAAAAATCTATTAATTAATATGTGAACAAACAATATAGTAATGTATTAGGCCAAAAGCCAAAAATCTTTGTGACGCTTAGTTGTAAGAGTGTATCCACCAAGTTTCTTGCCTCTCTTGCGAACACCAATGGCCATACAAGGAGAGTTGTTAATGCAATACTCTACAATGTCGTTTTTGTTCATAGGTCGGGCCTTTAAGGCCCATATTAATAGTAGCCGCCACGTGGCGTGCTGTTTCTTCTGGCCTAGAACCAGCAAGGATGCCCCACGTTCTCTTGCCTCTTTCACTATGGTTGGACCTTTCTCAAGACCTTCCACAACCACCATCTCTGTCTTTACCTAATTCCACAAATTATTGATTGATTTTTTCTTTTTCTTTTTCTTTTTAATATGTAGTTATGATCAAAGAGAATAATATCTATATTTGAAATTTTGAAAATGTTGCAGAGGTAAGAAAATGGTATGAACCTCAGGTCTTTTAAGCTCACAGATGTTTTTCAAGACTGAAACTTTTGTATAAGCTCTTGACGTTGTGTGTTTGTCACAAGATTCCTCTTCTTTAGTGGCTAGAGCATCTAGAAACAAAAAACATACATCAAAGCAATAGTACCCTATCACATATCATGATATCAAAGATGTTTTTCTCTGTGATGCTTAATTCTGTCGAATTAATATGTTACAAAACGCTGTCAGTTTTTTTTCTTCTACTATTTAAAAAAAAATTCATGTGTGTTTTTATTGGGGAAATGAATAAGAAGAAAGACATAATTAACCTGGTCGAGAGGGTTTAGCTTTAAGAAAGTTGAGAAGAAGAATGGAGTCTTGAGGCTGAGCACAATGGGAGAGAGTCCAAAGAAGAGCATTCTTGGATTCTGAACAAGAATCAACCACAACCATTATTCTTCTCCCTACTATCTCTGTAGAGGAGCTTGGTGGCTCTTGGCTGCAGCAGCCATGATGGCTCGTTGTCGTTGGGGATTGGACTCTTACGTGAGCCCTTATTCTGTTTAGGAAGAACCCTTCTCCTCTCTTTCCCATTCTCTCTCTCTCTTTCTCTAACTCAATGGAAGGACACGAAGTTAGTATAAGAAGGTGAGAAATTAAAGTAAATGAAAGAAAGAGCTATCATAATGTGTAATTATGGTCCTGCTTTTGATCCCCACATTTTTTTATTTATATAGAAAACTTCAATTTATTCCATTAGGAATCGACTTGTACTTGTCTATATTCTGTGTATAGCAGTAGCACCGACATCTACATCCACGCATTTATCGAATTCTAAAACTCATTATTTGACTTGTAACGCTATGATTTGGTTAGGTGAGTTTTTTTTTTATATGTTATGTTCTTCCGTTCTTTTAATCCAAATTTGTTAGTACAAATATCATCTTAGACATGGCGGCAAAATGTCATTAATAATTTGTGAGTTTAGAAAAATTTTACAACCACGCGTAACGAGTCTAAATTCATATAATTAATTAATCAAAACGATATATTCTTTATTATTTTGTTCTTCAGTATTTGTATAGAAGAGCACTTGGTTTTCAAAAAATTGTACAGTGTATAGCTAAAAAAAGTGAGAAATAGATGTACATATACATTTCTCCCAAAGCTCAGCTTTTTCAATTTCTATGATACTTTTGTATTGCTTTGTGTTTGGATAATGATATCTGAACTCTTTTGGTCTATTATAAGACATCGAGTGTTGGCCCTTCTTCATGTTTATCATCAAACCGTAGGTCCCAACACTAATTGATGCCAACCGGTTATTGTTATTGGCCATGTGATATACTGTACAACATGGTAAAATAAAAATAAACAGTGACGCTCAATAAAATGATTTCTACTTGCAAAATATGTAAAACCATTACATTGAAACGTGATGTTCATTCGTTTGTGAATATGTGTTCATTGTGAGATGTTTTATAACTAGATTTGAGTATCTAAGTATTAAACTATATATCTGCTGACATATAAGCATTAATTACAGTTCTTAATCAATTATAGGATCTCGAACCGGTTCTATAAAATATAAAATTAGTTTAGTTTAGTTTTTTTTTGTTTTGACAACAAAATCTCCTTGTATTATTAAATTTCAAAGAAGGATGGCTCAAGAGCCAACCAGATTGGAAGAGAATCGTTTACATATGAGAAGGAAAAACTTCGGGTTTAAACGCTCTTTGCGAGACGATCCGCCCAGACATTAAGAATGCACGGAATAAATTCAAGAGAAAATTCATGAAAATTAGATTTGAGCAGTTCATATTCTTCCAATTCCGTTGCTAAGACTGACCATTCTTCTTCTTCTTCAATTAGTCTAACCAACAACTAGCAGTATGTTTGAAAGGTCAGTCAAGGTATTTGGCAAGGTGTGAGAACTCGCATGGCCCACAGTAAGGTTTCTATTTCCGCATGGAGCGGAGATGCGACTTGATCAATCGCCATCAGACCCACCATCTGTCTACCGTCTTCATATTCTAAGAATAGGCCTCCCTCAGATAGTCGGCCCTCATGTATCCACGAGGCGTTCACCTGGCATCTCGTACCTCCGAATATACTGCTTTGCTTGTGGTCTCCTTGGCATTCCTCCGATATTAATGACAGATCTTTCGCCCGAGTCGCGCTTGTCTGATCAATATCTTGCGCCATTTTCCAAGCCCCGAATTCCTGTACCGCTATCTCTAGTGTCTTCGAGGGTAAGACATCCTGGTTATTAAAGACTTTTTCATTTCGCGCCTTCCATATATACTAGAGTATCCAAGGGTACACCTCTAAACATGAGCTAGGGGCCCCTTGTGCAGAGGCTCGTTCCGTAAGGAATGCAAAATTATGTGATATAACAGAGCACGAGAAGATTCCCGGAGGGGATGGTATCGTACTTAATGCCCACACTTGTATGGCTGGAGGACATTCAAAGAGTACATGATTGATAGACTCTTCAGTCGCTCCACACCTTGGGCATTGGCGATCGATCCCGCAGTGTCGATTAACCAGCTGATTATTGGCTGCTATACATTCTGATAGGGCTTGCCACATAAAAATGTTTAATCTTTCCGATGTCTTTTGGCCCCATATTCTTGATTTCAGGGGGTTGAAGCTTGGTTCTAGGACCTGTGGTCTGTTCTCTGCATCCTTTAATTGTATTACTAAATTTTATCCCGTCCGAACCGAATACATCCTTGATTTCGAGTATTTCCATACTAGTCTGTCCGGTTTATAAGCTCTGCTGGGCCGTATACTCTTTATACGCGGAACTTAGTCCGGATCAAAAAGGGTCTCCAGAAGTGGTGTACGCCATTCTAAGGTAACTAGGTCAATAAGATGATGGACATAAAGATCCATAACTCTTGCTCCTCCTTTGTCGTGAGCCTGCCAGGGCGGACAGACAGGAAGCCAATTATCATACCAAACTCTCGTACTGATACCTGAATTTATCGATTTCCTAAATCCTGCGAGTAATAATGCTTTTCCGGCCATAATACTCCGCCAGCCATATGAGGGATTACTTGGTCGCTCCACTTCCAAGGGTGATGTGAATCGATAGTATCTGGCTTTCAGGACACAAGCCAACAGGGACGAGGGGTAGTGGATTAGTCACCATAATTGTTTAGCCAGCAAGGCTATGTTGAAAGTATTTAAGTCTCTGAAGCCTAATCCCCCTTTATCTTTCTCAATGCAGATCTTATCCCAGGCTATCCAATGCACGCCTTTGTTTGATTGTTTTGTACTCTACCAGAAGTGGGAAATTGCTCTATTTAGCTTCTTTAAAAAAGCTTTTGGGAGGAGGAAGCAGGACATGACGTAAGTTGGCAATGCATGTGCTACTGACTTAATCAGAACTTCCTTCCCACCTTTTGAGAGAAGTTTAGAGGACCTGGCATTGATTTTTTGGCTGAGGCGGTCTTGGATAATAGCAAAGACTTGCTTCTTTGATCCACAAATATTCTCTGGTAGGTCAAGATAAACTCCTATACCGCCTTCTTGGTGTATCCCCAGGGTACTTTTTATCTCATTTTTGCGTTCTATCCCTACCTTACTCCCAAAAAAGACAGAAGATTTCGAGCAGTTGAGTTTCTGTCTGGAAGCTTTCCCGTACTCCTCTATTATCTTAATAAGTTTAGTGCATTCCGTTTTAAGCCTTACAGAAAAACAAGCTGTCATCCGCAAAAAGGAGGTCGAATATATTTGGACATGTTCTAGCAATCTTCAGGCCTATAATTCTCCCTTCCTCTTCTGCACCCCTGATCTTTGCAATTAGTGCTTCTGTGAGTATAATAAACAGAAAGGGGGGTCTCCTTGTCTCAATCCTCTTGATGGGGTAATATTCCCTTTCGCTTCCTCATTAAGCAGTACTTTGTATGTTACAGACGAGATGCACCATAGGATCCGTCTGACCCATCTTTCTGCGAAACCTATTTTTAACATCAAAGCCTCTAGAAAGTTCCATTCCACTCGATCATAGGCTTTACTCATGTCTGTTTTGATGGCTACGAAGTTGCCTTTGCACATCTGATTCGTACATAGGGCATGAAAGGCTTCTTGTGCCACTAAGATATTGTCTGTAATTAGACGTCAAGCCACAAAGGCTGATTGGGTCTCCGAGATCAGTTTCGGAAGAATTCTTCTGATTCTTGTGCTTAAAATCTTGGAGATAATCTTGTAGCACACATTACAGAGACTAATGAGACAGAATTGAGTCATGTCTGTTGGTCTCTTGTTCTTTGGGATTAAGCATATATTCGTTTGATTTAGCCGGGGTCAAAAACGTCATGCTCCAAAAAATCCTGCACCATCCTGATGATATCTCTTGACAGGACATCCCAAAATTATCTAAAGAAGAGGCTTGTCATACCTTCCGGGTCTGGAGCCTTCCCTGGATTGATTGCAAATAGGGTTTTCTTAATCTCTTCCTCAGACGGTTTACAAATCAGCCTCTCATTTATATATGGAGTCACGCGCGCGGTAATGTACCGGAGATCATCTTCAAAATCTTTGGGCTGGTCTGTCGTGAACAGTTCATTAAAGTAATCTGTAGCAACTTTCTCTATACCCTGCTCAGTTTCTACCCAGACTCCACAGCTGTTTTTTAGTTTAATGATCCTGTTCCTTGCCCTCCTCTGCTTCATAGTGGCATGAAAAAATTTGGTATTCTTATCCCCTTCTCTTAGCCAACTAACCCGATTTTTCTGCTTCCAGTACAGCTCTTCTTCCCTAAAAGCATTACAGGGATTCCATTTTAAGGTAAGGAGCTCATCATTTGTAACCCCGTCATCATCCTGAGCTATTTCTAGCTTCACCTTGATTTCTTCAATCTTTTTTATTGTGTTGGTTGGATTTAGACGTCCCCAACAAGATATGGCCTTCCGACAGTTGCCTATCTTTGAGAATAAATCACTCATTTCCGTAGGAGTTAAGGGTCCCCAGCCCTCAATAATAGCCTCTAGAAGGTCTTCCTTCTCCAGCCAACGCTTGTCGAATTTGAAGTTTTTTTTCACACGTCCCCTTTTGGATTGAATACAAGCTAAAATAGGGCGATGATTGGATCCCCATACTTTAGATACTCCACAACTGTGTGGGAAAAGTCATGATGCCACTCTTCATTTCCGAGGGCTCTATCTAATTTGCACTGGACCCGGACACTTCTGCGATTTCCCATCCATGAGAAGGTATTTCTTTTAGCAGGAAATTCCATCATCCCACAATCGTCCAGCAACGTATTGAAGGGGAGAAAAGATGCATCCGACCGTTTTCGCCCTCCTCGCTTCTCGTGGTGACCAGTGATCTCATTAAAATCTCCTATCATAAACCAGTTTCCAGATCTTGTGGTGCCAATCCGTGTCAATCTTTCCCACACCGGCGCTCGGTACTCTGTGACCGGATCTCTATATACGAAGGTCATAAAGACTTTTTTCCCCTCTACAACTGTCTCGATATCTATCAGACGATCATTTGAGAACAGGATTTTAACATCAAAACCATCCATATAAAACAAAGCAAGTCCACCGCTTTTACCTTCCGGTTTTACGGTGAAAAATTTATTATAACCAAAAGAAAATTGAAAGTCTTGCATAAAAGAGAAATTATTTTTTGTTTCTGGAAGAAAAAGAAAAGCAGGTGAAAAATAGCAGTGCAGCTCTCTTAAGTGTTGTTTGGTAAGATATGCTCCTGCACCTTGACAATTCCATGCTATTGTGTTCATATCTTCTTACTGGGTGGTTTCTGGGACTCCACCGAACCTGAAATAGCAGACGTCTTCTTGCTTAAAACAAATATCGAGGGATAGTTGTTTTGCGAGAGGGAGTAAGTTTATTACCGGTTCCCTGTCTTTTTCTTGGGGATGCTCTCCCTTTGAGGCTAGTGAGTAACTTCATAGCTCCTCCCCCACGTCCCTTTGGGCTGTTGTGGATCCTTTTCCTCCCGTTCCCACTCGTAGCTATCTTGCTCTTCGTTTATTTCCAAGTTGAGACCTCTTTACCAGTGAGGGCAATTTGTAAACTGTTTTTCCGGGCAGCTCGTTTCTTTGGAGAGGGAGTCAATTGAGAGAGGGCGTCTATCTTTTCACAGTCATCCCCCATCACATCCCCCAATAAATCGTCTTCTTCCATCTCTTCCTTATTCATTTCCTTTTGTTGCTGTTGTGCTTTATCCTTTTCAGCTATCTCTCTGTCAAAATCTTCCAGCTCCTTATCAGTCATAAGGGTTGTCATCTCCTCACCCAAAGATTCTGAGCTCCATATCTCGTCCAGCTCCATAGCTGTGGCTTCCACTATCTCACGGGCGTGATTCTCTTCCCTCATAGATCGTGCCGAGGTTGGTGTTTCAAGAGGATTTTCTTCCCGAATTACTATCGGCCCTGGTTTCTTAAGATAACCAAACTGCACCACCTTCCGTGTTTTAGCCACTTTTTCTGAGACTTTTCCTTTTCCCTTTATCCTCTGTCTCCTTCTCCTTGCTTCTTCCGACTCTTTTTCCGGTGATGCGGATCCACTCTCAATCAGGTTGTTCTCTATGTTCAGTCCTGCTATCTGGTCCGAGATGGTGCGCTGTGAATCGGAAATAGTTTTGGAGGTGGAGTTTTCTTGTTGTCGTTGTTCTTTACCGGCGTTCTTTGCATGAGGAGATAGTCGTGACAATTCATCTTCTCTCGCTTCTGTTATTTTCGGCACCCATTGCAGTCTCTGCGTTGTCAAAGCTTTCCTCTTCCAAGATTTCTCATTGGATATGGACGTGTGTTTCGTTTTGAGGGCACGCGACTTCGCGGAACTGCAACTTCTACTGGCCTCTTGATCCGTCTCCACACTTCTTTACTCCTTTGGGTCCTTTTTTCACGGAGGTTGTAACGCATATCCCTTTCTCTTGAGCTCTTGTGGCGATAATTATTCCTTATCTCCTCTCCGTTGTGTGAAGAGACTTTGTTTCTTGGCTCGTAGTTGCGTTTTGGTTCTTCTCCTCTCACTGCAACTCTGTAGTTTCTGCTATCTAGTTTTTTTGTATTTGTGAGGGTGAAGATCAGCTCCCATAACTTCACCAAAACCCCTTCCGGAGGTTGGTACTCGAGTAACTCCTCTGTTTTGTGAGATTTGGTGAGACTTAGAGCTTTTGTCCATCGTTCTTTGACCTTTCATTCATGTCTCTGTTGTAGTCTTTTGGACGATATGTATACTGTCGCACTTCCCTTTCCTCCCTTTGCGGGGAACGATAACGTTTTTGATTCTCATTAATCTATGGAATGGGTACTTGAGGCGGAGCCATTAGATGCTTTTCCTCTGTTTCCCCCGCCTTGCCCTGAAGTTTTTTCTGTTCCTCTGCACTTAGCTCTGGACATGTAACCACTTCATGTGATAGCCGTTTGCACTTAAAGCAGTATTGATGCAGAGCCTCGTATTCAAACTCCACTTTACCAACATCTCCATTTGGGAAGCCCACTCTTCGTTTGAACTTCAGAGGGTCATTGACATTAACGGAAACTTGAACTCTTGCATTTTCAGCATCCATTTTCATAACTCTTCCCATAGCTCGCCCAATGGCTTTGAAAGTATCATCGTTCCAGTAGTGTATCGAGACTCCTGTTACTTTGAGCCAAAACGGTATTGTGCATGGGAAATCTTCTATTGTTGAAGGTTCCCAACGCTCCAACGCAAAGCTTCATCGGTTGAAGTGACATGGACGCTTTACCAAAACCTTCTCCATATCCTCCTCCCGATCGAAATCAAACTAGAAACGTCCGTTTCCTGGGTTTGAGCCTTTGACTCTCCCCTCTACATCCCATTTACTCGCTCTCGGCAGCTGGGCTATTAGAGCTTCTGTGCTTCTTCCTTCTCGATATAGCATCCTCCCGATAAGGGCATTCTTGAAACGCTCTGAAGCAGCCACCAGATCACAAGCTGGGAGTATAATAATATCATCATCTTCCACAACCAGCCGCCATCTTGTTTGGATTGAAGACCCACCTCTTTGCAAGGCGTTTTGTTTCAGATCCATTTTCAGTCTTTAGAGAAAACTGGGAATGATAACCGTTGTAGATTCGTAAACACTTCGATACACTGCGATCACACGATTCCTTCCCCCACACGAAACCAGATCCAACACGTAGTACAAGACTAGACGATCTGATCTCGGAGAATAGCAGGGGAGACAAACAACGTAGCAATGGCTAGAGACAGTCACCCTTATGATTCAAAAGCAAAATCCTTCGAGCACATCAAACCAAAGCGAATCCACCCTCAACCGCGAAAAGATCCAGAGAAAACTATCGTCACTGTCGTATCAAGATCCCAAGGTTACGAGACACTTATCTTTATTTGAGAGATTGATGCGAGTGAGGTATGCTCCGAGATCCGCCGTTGTTGATGATCACCAGTTAGGATTGCCGAAGTCGCTTTTGTAGTCGCCAAAATCCTAGGATCTCCATCGATTTAGAAGAATTGTTTATTTTTATATTTAAATTTTATGTTTGTGATCTATCCAAATATATTAGTTTAGTTTATTAGCTAGTTTTCACTTTTTACTCCAGCTTTTTATTGGCATGAAAACCCTTTTTTCTCATGTAATAAATTAAATTAGAAAATTATAATTAAAAATTTTAACGAGATGAAGAAATAAAACTACGGAGGTGTTATTGGTTCTTGTATTTTAATGGATTTGAGAATCCAAACCAAATTTAGTGTTATTGGTTCTTGTATTTTAAAATTTATATTGAAATACAGTGTTATTGGTTCTATGATTTTAAAATCCATAATGAAATACAATGTTATTGGTTCTATCATTTTAGAATCTAAATATTATAAGGATTTGAGTTTTAATTGAATTTGAATGGATTTGGAAGGATTTTTATGACTAAAATACAAAGATCCAAATACAAGGTCTAACCTTGGTATTTGAGTGGATTTGATTTTTTTCTATTTTGCTGATTTTGAAATCAATAAATTTATCAAATCCAAAGAAGATTTATAAATCCACCAAAATACAAGAACCAATAACCCATACTTATTGATTTCAAAATCAGCAAAATAGAAAAAAATCAAATCCACTCAAATACCAAGGTTAGACCTTGTATTTGGATCTTTGTATTTTAGTCATGAAAATCCTTCCAAATCCATTCAAATTCAATTAAAACTCAAATCCTTATAATATTTAGATTCTAAAATGATAGAACCAATAACACTGTATTTCATTATGGATTTTAAAATCATAGAACCAATAACACTGTATTTCAATATAAATTTTAAAATACAAGAACTAATAACACTGAATTTGGTTTGGATTCTCAAATCCATTAAAATATAAGAACTAATAACACCTCCTAAATTTATTAAATCCAAAAAAAATTTATAAATCCACCAAAATACAAGAACCAATACCTCCTACTACAATTCTTTAATTAGTTTTTGACTTTTTTAACTTTTCTTGCAAGGGATCACAGCAAAAACATACGAAAAACGACGACGGTGAATCGGTGGTGAAAGTTTTAAACCGGAAACTGAAAAAATAAGTCAACATTCCAAAAACAGTCAAAGTTCAGAAAATCTTTTTGGAATGCCACGTCATAAAATATCCCCACAAAATCTTGACGTTTCCTTGTGCTGCTCTCCAAAGAATAATCCTACTTCGCTGCAATTACGGACCAAAGCTTCAAAGTTTGTTGCTTTTTTCTCATGCTTAATTGATACTTTCTTCCTTCTGTGCTCTCTCTCTCCCTCACAGATCGATTCAAGGTACAAAGAACAGAAAAACATTAATTTTATCTACTTCTGTCTCTTGCGTGATCCAAATCTGTGACTTTATTATCGGTGATCTCCATTAATTCAGATCAATGGGTATTTTACTCTGCTGTCTTCGAGTTCCGAGGCATGATGATGAATCTGGAAACGTACCCAGAATCAGAGCCTTCAATTTCTCAATAACTAATAACTTTCTCCTCAAGGTATCCCAACTTTCTAAACCCTAATTTCTTTTTCTTGTTCCATCGAAAACTAATCAATAGCCAAAACTTTACTGTTGACCCAGTACGATCAACTATCTCGAAACCAGGAACGAAGGGTAAATCCCTCTGTCGCCGACGACGAAGATGTTTGTCCGACATGTTTCTATGGTAAAACAAAGAATATAAAACTCTGAAATTAGATTCAAGAACGTTTGATTTAATAGATGGTGTGTGTTGTGTGCTAATTCAATTCATAATGTGATTGGAGATAGAGTACACTGAGGATAATCCGAAGATAGTTTTGCAATGTGGACATATCTTTCACCTTGCTTGCATCTATGAATGGATGGAGAGAAGTGAAGTTTGTCCCTTTTGTTCCAAGGTTTTTATTTATATATTTTAAAACATGTATTTTATTATGGCTGTGTCTATCTTCTTATGTATTAATTAAAGTGGGTTTTTGATTTATGTTTGTGATTTCCACAGAAAATGCTTTTCATGGAGGGTGAAATTACAGAGCAAGTGGCGTAACGACAAGAGAGACGTCCTCATATTCTTTGGCGGCTGCAAATGTTATTCGTTAACAATTCCTTTTTGTGATCTAGTATGTTGTAACTATTCTTTTATAGATTTTGGAAGACTTCGATTAGCTTTTGTCTCTTTACCCCTCCAAAAAGATATTAGTCCATTTTTGTGTGGTGTTTATATGTGATAAAATTCATTTGTAGTAGGATTAGTACGGGTTAATGGGCTGTTAGACTTTAATTTTTTAGAGAGTATGTGTACATGTTGAATCCTTAGTTTTTCTCTCTTCCCTCGAAAAACGTTAAACAGATTTGTGAATTCTTCTTCAGCAGTCTTGAGCGAATTTCGAAGATTCAAAATTTCAGAGTGCGAGTTCAGTCATGGACCTCATGGTTCATATCAACCTCGCTGGCCAGAACAAGAAAATCTCCCAAGATCTTCCAGACCGTTCTGGATGGTGTTGGCAATGAAGACGCTCGTAAATCTTTTTAGGATGATTTATCAGAATATACAAAGAGTACAATTTGTGCGTATGGATAATGTTGATGTTTACAGGGGTTATTGAGAGATGAATTTTTAAAAATTGTTAGAATTTTGAAATCCATTGTTATTGGTTAGTGGATTATGACATTCTTATTAAAATTTCATGTATTGATTTAATGATTTTTAAAATTTATACAAAATCTATTGTTATTCTAAAAATTTGGTTTTTGAAGGAATCTATGGTTTTATCAACAATTTTTTTTTTTTTGGGGTGTGATGGTTCTATCAACATTTTTGTCATGAAGATATTGATTTTAAACATATTAACACATAAGACAAAACTTTTAAAAGACTAGCTATATTCTAAAATTATCAAAATCAATCATATGAAAATATTTTTATAAATGTTTTAAATATACAAACTCTCTGCAAATCTATTAAAATCTTTACAAATTTAACAAATATCTCAATTTTTAAAATCAAACAACTTTATATAAATCCATCTCCCAATAACCCTTCCACAATCTGAGCCATCTCTTACCAGCAATCGCCAATTCATTGAAGATGAAAAAACCCCAGAAATTCAAGAAGTTGGCTTCAACTATCATAGAAAAGGAGTCGTTGTTTGATGTTGCGAAGCATTTCCAGGAGAAAAAGGATTCGGGGTTGCGCTCATTGGTCATAGACCACAAGAAGGATAATCTCTCGAGGGGGAATATTGTGATTAGTAGTGGTTAATTGGTCATTAGACCTTAATTTTTATAAAATATGTCTAAGATATATGGGTTGATAGATACTTCTTGTGACACTTATTATGAAACAGAGGGAGTATATAAGTAACTTGGACTAATCTTCTGATTGCCAATTTATTATGAGTTAGGAACTCAGAAAAATTAACATAGTATCATAATCCGATCCACAAACTCTCATTTTCAGGCCTAAAAGTGGCTTTTGGCGGGATTAATGCATACAAAAGCCATTATCTTGGAGAAGTGTATTGAGATTAGTAGCGGTTAATTGACAATTATTAGACTTTAATCTCTAAAGGGCGTGTAACATATGTTTTACAACCTTGACTTATATATAATATACTTTGGATCAATTTACTTATTACCAGAAATTTCAGAAAACTTAACAATGATAAATACCAGAAGTTAGGTACATAATTTACCTTTATATCTAACTCTATTTGACCTCCAAATCCCGTGTATACTCGTATTTGTTTATTTTATACAGTACAAAAAGTTTCGTTTCCATTTTCCATATTTTCAGAGTCAAATTCTTGAAGAGGAACACAACTTTTTTTATTTATTTTGTTATTTTGTGTAGAAGCAGGAAAAGTCTTTTGTCTCCAACCAAGATACAATGGAAAACGATGAAAGAAGTGGTATAGTTATAATAAGTGAGCAACCGATATGCTTAAAGTTCTCTGAACTGAGAGGAAAACGGGTTTCATCCACGTGACATTGACAAAACTGAAAGAATTAGCAGTGAAAATTTGAAATTCTTGTTGAATGAAGTATTGTGTTAGTATTTCATCCGAAAGAGGGTAACGGAGTGGCGGATTGAATAGCAAAGGAGGCTCTTTCTTCTCAGAATTATGTCTCTAAAATGTATTATTTGGGCTTGATTGGGTCTAAAATCATGTATAGGTTGATTAAGCGTACTTTGTACTAAATTATTGTTGAGTGAAGTATTGTTGTTGAGCCCAAAAGAAAAAGAAAAAGTAGTGAAAATTTTGGAATCGTGATTGCCGGGATGGCTACGAACATCCGGTAGACAATGATGCTTATCTCGGATGTACTCAATCACTAATGCACGCAAATTATGGGTTTTTTTTTTTTTTTTTGAAAAAGAGATTTATCGTTGACAAGAAGGAGATTTATCTGAAATGATGAATTTTTTGGATTAACCATCATGGTATGTTTGGGTATGGATCCACGAAAATAGTTTTGGATCAGATGATACATCATGTTGGATAGTATAAATCGAATTCTAATATCATGTTAAGTTAAATGAGTTTTCAACTCAAAACAAATGGTGGATAAATAACTTGGTCCATATTTCTTATATATTATATAAAATTTATTTCAACTTTCGATTTGAGATCAATAGTAAGTGTTATCTTCTTGTCAAGGTGGAAACCCTACAAATCAATTCTGGTATGCTCGTCTTGAGATAGAAAATGAATTTCTAGGATGATCCGATCCAAATACACATTCCCTCGTTCCTCAACCTGTGTTGTATAAATTCCTCACATCTTGAGGATGATGGAAAAATGAGGGACGAACGAACCCTTCACTGGGCATCCGCATGTGCCTTTTCTGATACGATGGTATATTTTGGCTTCCCCTGTTGTCATCAACATGTGCAGTTAATTAATCAGCTATATATGATGAGATATAAATTAATAATAATAGGTTTGAAAAAAGTATAAGATCGAATAAATTTCTCCTCATTCATTCTCTCCGACTTTGAAATATATTACAACTTCTGCCCCCATACTGAAGCAAAAAAAAGCTTGAGAAAATTACAAACAGAAAAAAGAGCTTGCTAGTTTATATATATGATTATGATATAAGAAGATGGAACTTGCCAAAATATACTAATTAATTGGATGAAAAGGGGATAGCCACTATTTCTATATATTTGGCTAATTGTTTTTATTTTTGACGATTATAAATATATTATGGAATTGCCTTCATGCGGCGAAGCAGCCAAGGTTGCAGTTGTAAACGGGTTCAAGAGACAGATCGAGATCGTTCCTCCTCATTGCCATTGGATCTTCTTCTTGATACAGACCACTGCATTCACATGATATAGTTTATTTTAACACATACATAAAAACTTGTGTTTCATCGTAAATTGGTCAAATAAAGGCAAATCTAATGATAAGTCCATCTTCAAAAAATCAAAGACAACAAAATTATCTAGCTGATACCAATGGTTTTCTTAGGCTTTTCGCAACCATTCCATCTACTTTTCCCAAACAATATAAGTCTGTTCGTTTGACGACCACTGCATTAACCTACGTTAATACATGAATGTTCTTAGTTAGATTATATTTAATTCACAACTTAAACATCTATCCATCACTAATACAGAACCTAACTTCAGTGGAATTACAACACCTAACTAGCATGTATAACACATATGGCTAAATTTATATGTACTTGAAAGTAAGAGTGAATTAGAAAATTTTGATTACCCCATGTTGAGAAAAGGAGATGGCTGGTGAGAGAGCATGTAAGGATGCTGAATTTGATGCTGCTGTGGCGGCGGAGGCCGTGGCATATTGTGGCCATGGTTCTGCTGATCCCACTGCTCTTGTTGTGCCCTTAGAATCTTTTCCCTCTCCTTAATCTGCCAAGTTCCAGTTTCACACACCAATTTGTTACCAGCTCATTCCAAATTATCATCACCATCAATTTTCAAAGCGACAGCTTTATAAATAAATAGATATATGGCATCATCAAATTGAATTGCATTTAGATCTTTGGTTACAAGTTACAACTAATTAATTCCTCTAATTCATCATGCAATGACTTCTTGTACATGTCTTAAGTATCTTCTCAAATTGTTTTGTCCTTACCAAAATTTAGCTCAATATTTTTTTTAATTAGGAGTAAGGAGTAGTGTCTCTATACAGATACCCTATATATAGATGTCCTGATTAAGTAGAATGAGATGTAGACGACGTTTTGAAGTTCAAATTTCAATCCGAGAGACAACCTTAAAACTAAACGGACAAAGTTCATCTACGTACAGGCTGGTTATTATATTAATCAGTAGGCAACATCTACTCTACTCAACAAAGAAATGTAGCAAAGATATTAATTTTATTCTATTTTTTTATTGGTGCTGAAGTTAAGTGGAGATATGAAGATCTCGTAGGTATAGCTTGGCTTGAAGTGTGAGTAGAACAGTGGAACGTAACAGTAATGCAATGGAAAACATGGTGATGAAACGATTAATAAAAACACGTGTCACCTGCTTGGAAAGCATGCTGTTTTGCTCCTGTATGGCTTTCTCCTGTCATTTCCAAAACGGCACGATAGTTAGCTCCGCTGCCTGTACGTTCTTACACCCAGTTTGTCTATATGGACATACCTTTGATAGGGTTTTTACATACCTTTCTTTGGAGGTCATTAATGGAGTCGTACATAAGCTGGTTCTGCATAAACACACATCACATTAACGATACAAAACATGATTACTTTCTAGATATGAAAAGTTAACACATTTGAAACCAATTTTTATGCATATTTACGTGACTGATTCATTATCTTTTTTTTAATATATTAAATTAACTAAGAAAGTCATAAAGATATTCAAATTTTCGAATAATAACTAACTTGTATACGTTTAAGCTAACATACATATGCTCAAGGAATAATAGGATTCATACTTTTCTAGAGCGGATGTGCTTAAGAGCAGTGTCAAGCTGCTGCTCCAGATTCTGGAGCTCCTTAGGGCTCATTGCTTGCAAGTCTTCTCCAAGATAATGCCTGAATTTTAATAGCATCCATGCATATTTATACTTTCATTATTGCTAACAATTTCTTATATCATTTTTGCCAACACTTTCTTATTTCATTTAAGCCTAGATATCATATAAGATGAGTGTACCTCTGGTTTCTTTCCAAAAGCTCAATCTTAGCCTTAAGCCTGTTATACTCCATCGACCAATTCGTCTGCATCTCACAAGTTTATACAAATATATTCATCAGTAATATAAATAGA